ATTTCCCACCTCCGCCGCAGCTTCCTCTTCTTCTACTCGTGGTGGCAGCGTGTTGTGTCGCATAACGCGTTTTCTCCAGCATAGCGCGTTTCTTCCAGCAGTGGGATTCAGCTTACGAATCACTGGGCGTTCTTCGGGAACGAAGCGACCGCTTGGCAAGTTCCAAGCAGGCGAAGAACCGAAGAAAGCATCAGCAACCCTAACTGAGCTTTCAACCGCAACGACATCGGCAACGCGTGTTCTCCACAGCACGCAACACAGGAAGCTTGTCCTGCTTGGCCTACTAGAACTAGTGCGTCTTCTTCTCCTACTTCTTCTTCGTGGGTTTGCGAATACGGTACAGCACTACCGGACTACAGCTAGTAGCAGACGACCACTACGAATACTTTTTTTTTCTCTCCTTCTTCCTTCGTACCCGAGGTTATGCGAATCCAGTAGAAGCAGCACATTTCGGGTTGCAGCTAGTAGCAAGCAGCTACTACTACTACTTCTCCTTCTTCTTCTTCCACAAGTTTCGACGAGCTTGCACAATACCCCATCCCGATTGCGCAGGCTGGAGCATCGTTTGTTACGGTCGGTTGCAATCCTCCCTATCAAAACCTGGGGTGCATTGTTGCAGCCGACCACGGGAACACGGTGCAAAATTCACCCCAGACAGAGAGCAGGGAGAATTGCAAGAACCCTAACAGGCAATCGCACGTGACTACGACCCGACGGGAGCGATTCTACTAGAATCCTCGCGAAGCGGAAAGGGAGCTGCGAACGCGAACTGCTAGGGGTTTTGCGAGACGAAGACTCGGCCACGAAAGCGGTTGCGTAAGAGGTTTTGCGACAAGAAAAGCGGTTGCAGACGCGAGTTGCTAGAGGTTTTGCGAAACGGGAACTCGGTCGCAGCAGCCAGTTTTCAGAGGTTTTGCGAAATAGAAATCCGGTTGCGAGCGGAAGTTGCTAGAGGTTTTGCGAAACGGGAACTCGGTCGCAGCAGCCAGTTTTCAGAGGTTTTGCGAAATAGAAATCCGGTTGCGAGCGGAAGTTGCTAGAGGTTTTGCGAAACGGGAACTCGGTCGCAGCAGCCAGTTTTCAGAGGTTTTGCGAAATAGAAATCCGGTTGCGAGCGGAAGTTGCTAGAGGTTTTGCGAAACGGGAACTCGGTCGCAGCAGCCAGTTTTCAGAGGTTTTGCGAAATAGAAATCCGGTTGCGAGCGGAAGTTGCTAGAGGTTTTGCGAAACAAACTCGGTCGCAGCAGCCATTTTTCAGAGGTTTTGCGAAATAGAAATCCGGTTGCGAGCGCAAGTCACTAGAGGTTTTGCGAGACGGGAAATCGGTCGCAGCAGCCATTTCTCAAAGGTTTTGCGAAATAGAAATCCGGTTGCGAGCGCGAGGCACTAGAGGTTTTGCGAAACGGAGAAACGGCTGCAAGTGCGAGCTTTCCGAGGTTTTGCGAAATAGAAATCCGGTTGCGAGCGCGAGCTTTTAGAGGTTTTGCGAAACAAATACCCGGCTGCATTGCGGTTTTTCCAGAGGCGTTACGAAGCAGCGCAGCTGTGACAAACCTTAGTCGGACTCCCTTGACCATTTTCAAAACGTTCAACAGAGACAAAATCTCCGCACAGACTCGGAGTCGCATCAGTCTAGTGTCTCGTTTTTTTTCGGATACCCGTGGAGGGTATGCAAAAACCATAAGAATTTGTCAACCCTCCCCGAAGGACTCAAAAAAAAAAACGCGAAACGGGGTCCAGAAATAGTTGGGAAGTCATCCTCGAGCTCGACTTGGGTGACCTCATGAATCCCGCTTCTCTAGTCATCGACTCACCAACCTCCGGCATCGCAGCGCAGGCGAGCACGAGTGGTAGCCGGATGACGATCGACGAGTCGGACGTGAGTATGGCTCAGCACGAGGGCGCGCCACGAGTGGCAGCCGCCACAGAGGCGTCCGCAACAGCAGGAGTGGCAGCGACATTGTCACAAGCACAGGAGACAATAATAAACATCCACATACCGCAACCGGTGCAGGTCCCACCGCATGAGCCGCAGGCCCCGGCAGAATACGGGATAGTGCAGCAGATTGCCGAGCAGCTGGCAATGCACGAGACTGCATTCATCCAAGTGAAGCAGGTGGTCAGCGACTCAGTCGAGATCCTGGGAAGACATGAGCGCGGCGGTGTCACCGTGGAGAACCAGGTGCGGCAACTGCAGCTGCAGACGCAGACCGCAGCAGAGGCGAGAGAACAAGCTGCAGCGAATCTGCAGCAGGTCGAGGCACAGCTAACGCAAGTTGCAGCTGTCGCGCAATCGGCTCAAGCGGAAGTAGCGAGCATCGCGCACGAGGTAGCAGATGCCAAGGCAGCAGCCTCGGCCTCGAAGGGGCGAACGCAGCTTCTGCAAGACCAAATGTCGACGATGACAATCCAGCTTCTCAACCTCACAGCGAAGCTAGAACCACGCCTAGAGAAGGCCGAAGGCCACATCGCAGATGTAGCAGCAGACAGCGCAGCACTCAAGGACCGAGTAGCGGCGTTGCAGGAGCAGACAGCAGGTGGCGCAAATGCAGAAGCTGAACGCCGTCTAGTCCAGGCTGAACAAGAAATAGAGGTGCTACGAAGCGCCCTCAGAGAGCAGGTCGAGGCGTCGCAGAAGATGACGCAGGAGCAGTTGCAACGACTGCAGAATGCGGAGGAGCAAGCCAAGCAAGCGCTAGATCGAGCACTAGCGCAACCAAACGACAAGACACAGATGAACGACAGCGAGGCCCTAAAAAAGGAGCTAGAACGTACGACCAACACGGTGCAGCAACAGCAAGAACAGCTACTGCAGACGCGGCAGCAGCTAGACAAGGTGTCAAGGCTACCAACTGGGCATCCCGACATCTTCGGCGAACTAACTCTGGCGGAAAAGCAGCTTGAAGAAGTACGCGCGGGGTTCGAGGTGAAGCTGAGAAAGACCGAAGAGCTGCTAGGGATGCAGGTCCAGCGAGCAACGGAAAAAGCGGACGCTGCATGCGAGAGGGTCAAGTGTGCGCCGAGAATACCAATACTCGACGAGCGGCTGACAGTGGTAGAGGACAGTATACGCGAGAACATGCTCCATGCTATCCATGGCTGCATCCAGCACACGAAAGACGAATTGGAGAAGCAGATCTCCTTTCTGCGTACGCGACTCCGACAGGTCGAGGACGGGCTTGAGAATGTGGCTGAAGGAGGTCTCGCCGGCATTGCCGAGCAGTTCGATAAGAAATTAGACGAACTAACAGAAATAGTTCTCGGCGTGCAGGAACAGCAGCAGCTGACAGCAGGACACGCAGATGGTCGCGAGACACGACCGACTTCGAAGCGCAACTCCCTGGCAGGAGCACTGCAACTCAACGCAGTAACCAACGCGAACAAAGCAGACATGACATCGGGAGCCGAGTTCTTCGATGTCAGCACACCGGTTACAGCTGACGCTGTTGCAGCAGCGCAGGCTGGCGGTGGCGGATTTGCGTGGGCAAAGCAGAACTGTGCCGGACACGGCATCGAAACTACGGTCGGACACAGTGGGAGCAAGCCTCACACGCAACCAACAGTGGCACCGGCCGCGTCGAGTGTGACCATACAGCCACCTTTCGCTGGAACCGGGGCAGGAAGCTGCGCGGCGACAGAGAACCTCTGCGCAATCGAGGACGAGGAAGAGCGACCTCCCACGGCGCAGGCAATAGAGGAGGTCTACGACCTCTACGCGTTGGCCACGGTGTCAGACGAGCCATCAGGGGACGAAGCGAACGAAGTGGTCGCGTCGTGCGATGTCGCCTTCAAGTACGCAGCCGCTGCACCAGTCACGGCTGCTGCGTACGAGCTTACAAGCCTTGGCGGCAGCGAGGCAGAGACGACGGCCTTGCACGTCTGCCAGGACGCAACCGGCAAGGAGTGCGTGTTCGTAGAAGTCTGGATCAACGAGGACCATTCGAACACACCGCAGTCGGAACAGCACTTGCTCTACCGCAAGGCCAGAAAGGATCTAGCCAAGGCGCTGGGGGTAACGATCAAGGACATCGAAACTCTGCGGCTGTTCCACGGGTCCCTCTACGTCCAGGCAACGATCGCTACCCAGAATGTGGCGCAACAGGCACAGCAAGGAGCCGCCTTCGGTTCGCCGCAACTACAACAGCAGGAGCCAACCCGGCGCAACGACATGTTCGCAAAAGAAAAAATGCAGGACATCGTCATGGAGTGCAGGTGTGACGGCACAAAGGACCAGCGCAACAAAGCAGTGCAAGAGCTCGCGGCGTTGGAGCGCGCGCTACTAGTAGCAGGAGCAGACCACCAAGCGATCTACTCCATTTTGACGAGAGACAACAAGAAGAACTTGCGGGAGGTCCCGCTGAGCATCTTGAACGATGTCGAGAAAAAGTTGTCGATTGCGACAGCGCAGTGGCCAGCATTGCGTCTACTCCCGCCGTCACAGAGGAGCCTACCGGAAGAGATCGCGCCGCTAGTGAACCTCAACACAATGACAGTGAACTACGAAGCGATCATACATGAGTTCAAACGAGGCATCCGCGAGCAGATGGGAATTCCGGAAGAGACGCAGAACCCAGTGACGACAGCGTGGCAGCAGCTGCTCGACACCGTCCCGAAGTCAGACAAGGCCACTGACATTGTCGCGTGGCACAGAGAAGTCAGCACTGCGCTGGGAATCTGGCAGATCCAGAAGAAGCTCCGCAAGCAGCCAGCGCCGACGCTGGAAACCACGGTTGGCGAAGATAGTGCAGTCGAACAGCTGATGAAGCACTGGGAGGCGACAATCCCGCAAGCCTATGTGCTTGAACTTGACCAAGCATGCAGGCAAAACAAAAAACGCTACCAAGACCGTTCAATGGGTGACCTGTTGGACGTGGTGAGCGGGCGTGCCCTCGACGAGGCACAACGACAGGCAGCTACCGGCCAAACCAGCAAACAGCAGCTGAAGCAGACAAGCCCAAACCTACAGGGTGACGCGCCGCTTGGGCATCACGACCAGCAGACCATGACCAAGCAAGAAAAATCAGAGTTAGTCAAGCAGCTTGGGGCAAGTGTTGGCGTTTCGCCACAGGCGCTCCACAGCTTCATCAACGCTGAGAAAAACAAGCCCGGGGTCGGCACTGCTGGCGGAGGAGGCAGCCAACAGAAAGGAGCTGCCAGGAAAGTCTGCTACTGCAACGGCAAAGGGCACCTGGCAAAGCATTGTAGCAAGTGGGCAAAGGGCATCCGCGAAAAGTACCAGTGTGAAGCCAGTGCGTTCAAAGTAGCATACTGCGAGACGTGCGCCGGCACACATGAGCGGCACAAAGGCGACATCTGTGTCGGTTGCCCGAACGACGAAGCAGCAGCTGACCCGAGCTTCGACCTGTCGGCCTACACGCATCCACCACGTTGCAACAGGGAGATCCCGACAACGACGCCACCGAACAGCAAGGGTGGCCGCAAAGGAAGCGGCAAAGGAGGTGGAAAGAACCGTAAAAAGGGTGGCGGTGGTGGCAGCGACAACCCACAATGGCGAGGCTCATCCCAGCAGCAGACCCAGCCGCAGGGGGCTGCGCAAACGGGAACGCAGCCACCACAAAGAAAGTTTGACGACAGAGACGCCATCCGCGACGCCGCCGGCAGGGTCATCAAGGGTGTAAAGCACATCCCGCTTTCGGGACAGCAACAGCAAGTACGTGTGGGATCGGTGCTGGCCGCTGCAGAAGAGTCAAAGCCAGAGGGCAATTACATAAAGTTCGCCATCGGAGACTCCGAGCCCTTCCAGAACCTGTGGGCAGATGGTGACGCAGGAAACCTGATGGCCAACATCATCGACCCAGCGGAGGCGCGCAGGCTCCTCGAGCGAGAGTGGAAGAACGGCGAGGTGAGGGCAGGAGGCAGCGTTGACCTCGCGGCAGGGCAGTTTCTCCCGTCCGCACCTTCGATCTCCTTCACCAGCCACATCACCGTGACCATGAAGTACGTCGACAAGGGTGACAGCAGCAAATTCATCACAGTGCCAACAATATTCTTGGTGTCGCGTTTACCATGCGGCAACGCGTACACGCTGTGTCTACAAGAGATGGGACGAATCGGCGCAGTACCAGAAGAGCTGACTCTAGTGGGTGGAGTGAAGCCACACGTCGGAACGATGCCGACTCTACAGCACCTCGCAGATGCAGGCGTCAAAAAGTGCGTCAGTCGCACGCAGGAGCAGAGCCGCTGCCTCATCAGTCAGGTCCCCAAAAAGGACATGTTCGTGCGAGCGCTCACAGCAGACGCGCTCATGGCGGGCGATGAAGGTGTAGTCCAGATTGCCATTCCGCGCGAGCACTACTTCGGATACGGGTATCTAGTCATCGCGCCAACAGAACAGCTCATCAAGCGTGGCCTGTTTTTTACGCCGTTGATCTTACCGCAGACCAACCCAACGAACCGAAGGCAACCGGCACCGGCTTCGGTCACGCTGGTCAATGAAGGCCTAGGAGCCGCAGTCTTAGGCCTCTCAGAAGACGAGTACACGGTGAAGACGGCCAGCGGCCCGGCGAAAGGCCCTCTGGGAGACCCAGCGCAGGTGCTCCAGGCGCTCATCCCCGAGGTCGACGAAAGCATGCCGTCAGTGAAGCTGTCGAAGACGGAAAAACGCATGCTGTCCACGAATACAAAAACCCAGGAAGCTATCGATAGCTTGCGAGACCGAATCCGCACACTAGAAGACGAAGGCGCAGACCCGGTTACGGACGAGCAGCTTCGCCAAAAAGTGCAGAGCCACTACAGGACCACGATGTCAACCGAAATCGACGTCGAAACGCGGGCGCGTGCCGAAGCCTCGGCAGGACACCGCTTGGCCTTCTATTGCAACGGACGACCTGACGCGCGCTTGCAGGGGACGGAAGCCAGATGGTCGCTAATTCCGGGCGCAACAGGATGCGTGGGGCGTATCGTGCGACATGGTGAGTATCAGTCGGTGGCCATGGGCTATCATGTGCGGCAAGCAGTGCGCCTCAACAAGGACGCACCGTACGACTGGAACACGGTAAACACAATCGGCCTCCCGATTATCGTCAGCTCAGGCATGCTAGTTGAGCGTGGTGGGAAGATAGAAAAACGAGCTGCGATCGATTATGTCGACCACAACCTCCTCACGACCACGCCGTGCTGGACAGCGACGCCGGCGATCAATCAGACGACGCAGATCCGCCGCTTCAAGACTGACACCGATTGCCATCTCGGCTTCCATTCGCACCGCTTGTCGACGCAGACCAGCCGTCTAGCGGCGTGGCAAACGGGCCTACCAGATATGCCGCTGATGCGACCAATCACGTGTGGCCTCGGTCCGAAGCAGAATCCGCACAACTTCAATTCCAAGGCCTCCACGACATTCGCAATGATGCAAAGTGGCCGCGGGACGTGCGACACCGAGCAGTATGTCGACGACCTTGCGTCGTCGGCAGACGACGAGTTCCAGCAAGTCGCATGCGAAATTTCTGATCCAGTCGAACGATATCCGATCCTCGTCATCGATCGCCCAGGATACTCCCTCGACGCAACAGAGCAAGTGCCAGACACAGAGAAAGAGCTTGCCAAGGTCACCGGGGTCCCGCTCAACCCACAGATGCAGGGCCCTTTCCGGTTCAAAGCAAAGGAGATCGCAGCTACGATCGAATCACACAAGCAAATCTACAAGACCGTGCTGCGCAGCGCGTCCGAGCAAGCGGGCGTGTACAACATTGGCTTCGACCTGAGCAAGCGGGCGGAGTCGGTTTTGCCAGCACCAGGACAGCAGACTGTCGGCCTGGCAGCTGCAGTCGCGGTTGAGCAGCCAGCAAGCGTCATCACAGTGCGCATAGTAGATGCCTTCGCGACGGTAGTGTGGCGATCCAGTTTTGACGATGACACATGGGAGAAGCTCTGGCGTGTCGTCACATACGACGACGATACCGGTGAGGTCCTCCATCTCTTTGAGATTCCAAAGGATTTCGACAAGGAAAAGATAGCGTCAACCAGCGCAATCGTCCCCGTCTCCGCCGAGTTGTACCGCCCCCGGACCATAAGAGTCCAGTGGGAGTCCAAAAGCAGTGGCATCACGTGCAACCTGCACGGAACGACGTGGCGAGAGAACGACGTGGTGGACAACGACTCACGCGTGCTAGTCGCAGCGATGCTGACGGGTTTCCGTCTATCGCTCGAGAAACATCAGATCGGGCGCGACACGTCCCAGAGGCGCGGCATGACGGCCACGAAGGATGGCGGCTTGTCCATCGGCGAGAAGACCTATGGCAAACTACGTTCGTGGAAATTGGAACCAACACGCGAGTGCATCCAGAGCCTCCTCAACGTGACCGGCTGGGAAGGCATTCGCAGCTACATCTACGGATACCAGAACATCGTCGCCCCGCTACGGCCATACGCTCTAGATAAAAAGTCAAAAGACCACAAAGACATACGACATTTCAGCAAGGACGTGTCGGCACAGAGAGCGTTTACAACTCTAGTCGGGAAGGTCAACGACACGCTTGCCATTTTCCCGTATGACTTCGCGAATGTGCATCACTTCTACACCGTGTCTGACTCAAGTAAGAAAGCGCACCAAGTCGGGCTCTTCGGGTGCTACCTCAAGGAGGACGGAAAGTGGGAGTTTCGCTGTCATGATGTCCTCCGCCGTTCCTGGATCGAAGAACAAAACTGGCCTGCAAAGAGCCGAGAGCTACGCGCCATTGTAGTCTTCGCGCTAGAGCTGTGGCCGAAAGTCCAAGGATATGACGTCGTGATCATGCATGACCACCTGTCGAACGGACCAGAGCAGCTCGAGAGAAGCCTGAGGACCGTCAACGTTGACGAACGCACAAAGAGGGACATCGACAAAATCAGGCACATGATCCCACTAGTATACTGGTATCACTGCGCCGGGATTGCGCTCCGTTTCGCGGATGGCGGCTCGCGCCTGTACGACGAAAGAGAGCTGCCGGAGCTACAAGCAGTTCCGGAAAAGGCACAGGCGTCAGCTAGGGTCATGCTGTACTGTTGACCCGGCCGGCCCTGGTTCGCCTTCGCCGGCTGGAAGTCCCCCGGATTTCCCCAGGAAATCTGTAAGACTGACAACCCTCGACCCCCCCCAAGCACAAGGCGAACACCCGCACGCCCCGCCTTCCTCCGAGTGTAGTGGTGTGCTCAGTCAGGACCTGCGCCGCGCGTGTCCGTGGGCTTGTCGCTCGCATGGCCCCCGGTCGTGTCGTGGGCAAGTGGTCAAAGACTGAGCGGAGAAGAGGCCACCACTCGATCGCGATGTCCTCTTTTGTGTCTCCCTCAGTCCTGTGTTCCCGCCAGCCTCCTCGGAGGTGGCTTTGTGTTCCCCGGCACCTGCCGATCTCTGTGCCTCGTGAGAGTGAAATCACCATCAAGAGAGAAATCGCCAGGCCAGAGAGAACTTACCACACCACCGCCTGCTTTTCGCTCTGTCTTACGCTCGTCTTCCCTCGTGCACAAGCTGCGCAGGCGTTCCACACACAGAGAAAAGATGCCTATCGCACTTTCCATATTTCTTGACGCGTCACCTTCGACCTTCTGCTCGCAATCCACCGAGCGCACCAACTGCGTGCGCGCCTCCGCCGAGCCATCGGAGGTCTCTCTATCCCTCTGCCACAAGAGTGACAACAGATGCCTTCGCCTTCGCTCATCCCGATTTCTCACATCTCTCGCACACTTCTGCAGCGCCTCAACTTACAGGAAGGGCATGGGCTCCCCTGGCTGCTCCATATTGGCCCGGTGGTGCCAGTTCTCCGCTTTTGCTTTCACTTGCTGCTCTTTCACTCAGATGGCGACGCGTTTCTTGTTGTCTGTGCGTCCTGACTATACTTGGTTTACCAAGTAGAAACGTCCATCATCATGTTGTTGATTTTTTCATACTGTTCCGCCACTGCATTCCTGCAGGACGGATTTCCGTGTGTCTTGCATCTGTCACGCTCGTGAAATATGTAGAAATCGCACGAGATCAAAGA